TGATTCAATTTCATTGCTGGTAATTGTTCTGTTTAGATTTTCTGTTTCTTTCTGGGTCATTCTTGGAAGGTTGTATTTTTGTAGAAAGTTGTCCATTTCTTCTAGGTTATCCAGTTTGTTAGCATATAGTTTTCATAGTATTCTCTAATAATTCTTTGTATTTCTGTGGTGTCTGTAGTGATTTTTCCTTTCTCATTTCTGATTCTGTTTATGTTTTTAGATTGTCTTTTTTTCTTAGTAAGTCTGGCTAGGGGTTTATCTATTTTGTTTATTTTCTCAGAGAACCAGCTCTTGGTTTCTTTAATTTCTTTCTATTGTTTTATTCTTCTCAATTTTATCTATTTCTTCTCTGATCTTTATTATGTCCCTCCTTCTACTTACTTTGGGCCTCATTTGTTCTTCTTTTTCCAGTTCCAATAACTGTGAACTTAGACTATTCATTTGGGATTGTTCTTACTTCTTTAAATTGGCCTGGATTGCTATATACTTTCCTCTTACAACTGCCTTTACTATGTCCTCCAGAAGTTGAGGCATTGTGCTGTTTTCATTTGTCTCCATATATTACTTGATCTCTGTTTTTATTTGGTCATTGATCCATTGATTATTTAGGAGCATGTTATTAAGACTCCATGTGTTTATAATGTGTGTGAGAAGAATATGGTTATAATGTTGCTTTTGGGTGGAATGTTCTATAGATATCTGTTAGGTCCATCTGTTATAATGTGCTGTTCAGTGCCTCTGTGTCCGTACTTATTTTCTGTCTCATTGATCTGTCCTTTGAAGTGAGTGGTGTGTTGAAGTCTCCTAAAATGAATGCACTGCACTCTGTTTTCTCCTTTAATTCTGTTAGTATTTGTTTCACTTATGTAGGTACTCCTGTGTTGGGTGCATAGATATTTATAATGGTTATATCCTCTTGTTGGACTGACCTCTTTATCATTATGTAATGTTCTTCTTTGTTTCTTGTTACTTTCTTTGTTTTGAAGTCTATTTTGTTTGATACTAGTACTGCAACACCTGCTTTTTTCTCCCTATTGTTTACTTGAAATACCTTTTCCCATCTCTTCAGTTTTAGTCTGTGTATGTCTTTGGGTTTGAAGTGAGTCTCTTGTAGGCAGCATATAGATGGGCCTTGCCTTTTTATCCATTCAGTAATTCTATGTCTTTTGATTGGTGCATTCAATATATTTACATTTAGGGGATTATCAATAGATATGTACTTACTGCCATTGCAGGCTTTGGATTTGTGGTTACCAAAGGTTCAAGGGCAGCTTCTTTACTGGCTAACCATCTAACTTAACTCACTTATTACACTATTAAAAATATACTTTGATGATTCTTTATTTATCTCCCTTCTTTTTCTTGCTCCTCCACTCTTTATATGTTAGGTGTTTTATTCTGTACTCTTTGTGTTTCCCTTGACTGACTTTGTGGGTAGCTGATTTTATTTTGCATTTAGTTGGTCTACTTCCTTTGCTGTGGTTTCATTTTCTCTGGTGACAGCTATTTAACCTTACGCATACTTCCATCTAGAGAAGTCCCTCTAAAATACACTGTAGAGATGGTTTGTGGGAGGTAAATTCCCTCAACTTTTGCTTATCTGGGAGTTGTTTAATCCCTCCTTCAAATTTAAATGATAATATTGCTGGATAGAATATTCTTGCTTCAAGGCCCTTCTGTTTCATTGCATTGAATATATCATGCCATTCCTTTCTGGCCTGTAAGATTTCTGTTTAGAAGTCTGATGATAGCCTGATGGGTTTTCCTTTGTAGGTGATATTTTTTCTCTCTCTGGATTCTTTCAATACTCTGTCCTTATCTTTGATCTTTGCCATTTTAATTATTATATGTCTTGGTGTTGTCCTCCTTGGGTTCCTTGTGTTGGGAGATCTGTGGACTTCCATGGCCTCAGGGACTATTTCCTTCCCCAGATTGGGGAAGTTTTCAGCAATTATTTCTTTAAATACACTTTCTATCCCTTTTTCTCTCTCTTCTTCTTCTGGTACCGCTATAATGTGAATATTGTTCCATTCAGATTGGTCACACAGTTCTCTTAATATCCTTTCCTTCCTAGAGATCCTTTTTTTCTCTCTCTGCCTCAACTTCTCTGTATTCCTGTTCCCTGATTTCTATTCCATTAACAGTCTCTTCCACCTCATCCAGCCTGCTCTTAAATTCTTCCATTGTTTGTTCCATTTCTGTTATCTCTCTTCTGAATTCATCCCTTATCTCTTGAATATTTCTCTGTAGCTCCATCAGCATGCTTGTGACTTTTATTTTGAGTTCTTTTTCAGGAAGATTGGTGGTTTCAGTTTCACTGAGCCCTCTGTCTGGTGTTTGAGGGATTTTGGATTGAACAAGGTTTTTCTGCCTTTTCATGGTGATGGAGTGGTCACCAGCAAGTGACACGTGTGTCAGCTGGGAGAACAAAGTCCTTTTCTGCTTGCTGGTCGCCTTGCGTGTCTCTGCTGTCTGTACTGGTTAACTGTGCACAGGAGCAGCCTCTGGATTCATCCCCTAGATTGCCATGGACAAGACAGTCCTCGGGATGGCCTAGGGAACTGGCAGGGGTTGCAGGCCAGCAGCGCGTGTGTCTGCCACAAAGAAAAGATCCCTTTGTGCCTCCTAGTCTTCATGCCCACCTCCTCTGTCTGTGCCTGTCAACCACACAAGGGGCATCCTCTGGATTAATCCCATAAACTGTCATGGGCAGGGCAGCCTTTGAGATGGCCTAGGGCAATGGCGGGAATCACAGGCCAGTAGCGTGTGTTCTGCCACAAGAGCAAAGCCCCTTCATGCCTCCATGCCTGTCTCTTCTGTTTGTGCTGGTCAACAGCACACAGGGAGCAGCCTCTGTGTTAATTTCTTAGCTTCCATGGGCGGGGTGTCCCTTGGGATGGCCTAGGATGCTGGTGGGGGTTGCAGGTGAGTGGTGTGTTCTGCCATGAGAATAAAGCCCCTTTGTGTCTCCCAGTCTCTGCACCTCTCTCCGCAGTCTGTTCCAGTCAACTATGCGCAGGGAGCAGCCTCTGGGTCTAGTCCAGTTAGCTGCCACAGGAAGCAGTCTCTCTGTTAAGCTGTGTGGTTGCTGTAGGAGGGGCTGCTCTCTGGCTGGTTGGCAGCAATGGTGGGTCAGTCAGTTTGCTCACAGTGCTGGTGGGGGGAAGGAATGGCAGGCTGCTTATCACCATGAGGGACCTCGGAGCTGCTTTGCCAACCAGGGGAATAGGGCACCTGAAGTTCCTTAAAGTTCCCAGGCTGCTGGGCTGAGTGTGCCAGGATGATTTTGTCCACCTGTTAAATAAACCCTTGTCCCTTTAAGACTTTTAAAGCACCTGCTTTTCTCTTGTCCCAGGGTAGCTGGCTGTGGGGACCTGTTCGCAGTCTTAGTCTCGGATTTTGCTTTTCCGCTCCTCTAATATCTAGAGCACCATGCAATGGGTGTCTGTGCTCCCAGGGCAGATTACTAGGGCTAGTTATTTAGCAGTCCTGTGCTTCCACTCCCTCCCCATTCTGATTCTTTTCCTCCTGCCAGTGAGCTGGGGTGGGGGAAGTGCTTGGGTCCCGCCAGGTCATGGCTTTGTATCTTACCCTTTTCCATGAGAAATTGGTTTCTCACAGATGTAGACTGGCTGGTGTACTGAATCTTCTGGTCCCTCTTTTATGAATAGTTGTATTTTCTGTATTTTCAAAATATATATGGTTTTGGGAGGAGATTTCTGCCACCCTACTCACGCCGCCATCTTTTCCTCTTTCCTAGCTTTCACCTTCTTATCTCACCCAGCATGACCCCCACAGATGTTCCTCTGACTCCACATTTTTGTGCAGGGTTAGAGGGCATTGCATAATCTGTCAATGGTAATTCTGTGCCAGAGAGCAAAGGAATTTGATCAGCTTTTCTTTCATCTCAATTTTCCCTCATGAGCTGAAATGTGGACCCAAGGCACTTATAAGTTTACCTTCCCTTTTCTTTATTCCAAAACTTCATTGTAAAAATACCATTTCCCTGTGCATTTTCTCCATTTATACTTCCTTCTTTTAAATCATGCTAACATTTTTTCACAGTACCAAATTATCCCATTTCCAAAATATTGATGTAATATTAAGAAAAATGCTTTTCAGCATGAAAAGTAACTTTTTCAGCAGTTAAAGCAAAAGCTCCAATTTGTTTAACTTTTTAAATAATGCTCATTCTAATATCCTACAACAATTTTTTGAAGAGGACTATGAAAATATAGACTTGCTTAACTTTTTTCAAATGGTAGTCAAATGAATGCACATCTTGAAGTTGTTTTTATAGTTTTCACATTCTCACTGGTATATTTTGGCTGCTCTTTTCCCCCACTCCCAGTTTTGGGTAGATTCCTTAATTCTGAATGTGTGATAATAAACCATTATTTTTCTGATTATTCTTTTTTATGAATTCAGGATTATATCTAAGTTTGCTGTACATGAATAAACAATTTTAATGATTGCTTCTCATTTAAACTAAAGGACTTTTTTAACCCCCAATGTAAAAGTTGAGTGGGTGATACATGAATATTTGGTGAATTGAACAGCTGTCATGAATCATTTGCTGATGACTAAATGCCATAATTTCATTAAATTTTCAATAGGTTCTTAGTGATCACAACTTAGAGATAGCACAACTGCATGAATCAATAAGACATTGGGAACAACAGGTTGAAGAAATAAAGAAATCCTATAAGACACTGGAGGATAAAACGTAAGTATGATACTTTATTTTTACTAAAGCATTTCTAGATGTTACATTTCTTTCATTTTTAAAATTATTTATTTAATATTAGATGAAAATTGTATCTCTTAGTTTACAAACGTGTGTGATTGTCAGCTTTATAGAACCACCTCTTCATTTTGAAATTAACTAGTCTTTCAGATAATCAAGAAAAAAATCGAGAAGGACACAGTCAGTTTAAGAAAAGGGAGGGACTCTGGAAAGTATTATTCTCACTTCAGGTCCTGACTCCCTACAAATATGCCCCAGGGAGGGCATTAGTGGGACCTGCCATAGGCTACAAGCCCACTAACTGTATGCTGCTACAGTTGTTCTTAGTCAAGGGATTTGCAGAACTTATTGAGAAAATACAGGAAAGCCTCAGAGCAAAAACTTTTACCCATGGAACTAGGACTAGAAACTTAAAAAGATCTTCCATCCATCCGGAGGCCCATAGTCTCTGCTTCCTTTTGCAAACATGTTTCATTCTTCTCTCTTTATCTATGTACTGTGGTCTCTTCTTGGTGAGTCCCTGGCTAAGTATGGCCATTCTAAACCGTATGAGTTTACTGTCATGGGTCCATCTTTCTCTAGAGACTGACCAATAGACTCTCTCTCAGAAGAATTCCAAGATTTTCCATCAGAAGTTGGTTGGCTCAGCCCTGGACAGGAAGGTGGGGTCTTGTAATACAAAGACCGCTTCTAGGCCTACCCCCAGGGTCCACCAGTTTAAAAGACAAATTGTGGACTGAGCAGATTTCCTAAGTGACAAGTAATTTCACATGTGGAATCCTGTTACAATATGGCTCATTTCTACATAGGTTTGAATATATTGTGGTTTAAATTATGTCTTCCAAAACATCAATTGCACAGTACAGTGCAACCATCATCAGTCCACAAAATAAGCAATAATCTTCACACTCAGTTCCTAGTTTAAAAACAGGAAAGCTTAAGTAATACTACAATTAGAACTCAGAATAAAAAA